TAATTGCTGTTTCCGTTTCGAACGTTTGTTCAGTGCTTGTCAGGCTCCCAGTAGTTTAGTACGATTGAGGATTACGTAGAACTAATTTTTTTTTTTTACGTGGAAGAAATCTTCGATAAGACACCTAAGTCTTTTAAGGGAAGACCCAGGTAGTGTCGGATTTTTACCTACTAAAACCTCCACGATAGCCGTTCTGAGCACGTTGGCAAACTCCTTTTTATACACACAGAGCTCTCCTTGTGCTGTTGTCCTAAAGGACAATATCTTTTTTTTCCGCCCGAATAAGGGTTCAAACCCTGGACCCTCAAATTAAGAGGTGACTGATGCTCTACTGGCTGAGCTATCTCCACCTCTAGAACTAACTAATTAATTTTAAGTGGGCTGTTTTTGGAAAATTTGAGGAATACAAGAATATATGTATATCTAATCCATTTGCAAGAGATAATGGCACAACGCGATCTATATCTCAACAATTGAATACGCGAATGAAGTTATTGCGTAATCTAAATCTATATAATCTATTACATAATCTGCAGCACGGTAGAATTCCATTCATATAAACAAATAGTTTACGAGTCACAAAAGTGTTTATCTTCTTCAATCGCCAGGCTTAATTCGCATATCTCTTCGCGATACGAAATTCGTGTCGAGCAAAGTGCTAATTAAAAATTTACGTCGCGAAGCCGCATCAATCAAAGTCGATGATACAAATTGGAGCTCATTCGTTCTCATTGAAACTCTACTATACAGTTTACATAATTGTAGCCCATGTAACATCCCGCTGTTAACTTTCATTTAATTTAATTTAATTCACTCAAAAATTTTTTTCACTGTACTCGATTATACGAATATAAAGCGATTCACTCACGAATTCCCGTTTCCAGGAATTCGCTTGGCGCGATCAGGACAAGCTACGTTATCGTTACCCGTGGGGCGAGAGCTACATCGACGCGATGCAACGTGTGGAGCCGGTGATAGCCGAACTGCAGAGATCCAATAACATCCTGGTGGTGTCGCATCAAGCTGTTCTTCGCTGCATCATCGGCTTCTTCACCGACAAGAAGCCCGAGGAGCTGCCGTACATGGAGGTCCCGCTGCACACCATCATCCGAGTGAGCAGCCACGGCTACAATTACAAGGTTGACTTCTTCAAGTTGCCGATCGAGTGCGTGAACACGACGCGCGTGAAGCCGACGAATTGCAGCGCGGACAGAACCGCCGACGATGCACTGATCACCGTGCCGCCGCATTTCGACATACCAGACCCATGGAGAAATCCTGGCAGCGGACCGACACTCGTGCAACAACACTGAGGAACCGCTCGACGATCCACGATCACGTCCAAGCTTCGATCTCTGTTCGGTTGCAACAGCTGGCGATTTCAACGGTGACGTCTTCTTGGAATTCTTTCTACTTTTGAACTCGGGGAAGGATGAGGGGGAGGGTGGGAGATGAGAATGTTGATAATACCATGCGAACGAAATTGATGAGATATTTTCTAGTACGTATACATGTATGTAGATCGCTTTAAGATTAGTTTTAAGCGCAAGCAGACTCGATGAGACGGGAAGTCAATGGACGTTGATGTCGACGAGGAGCAAGAATTTTTGATCGGACGCAAGTATGTGGAAGTGTTCGAAAATATTGGCGCGTTAGAAAAGATATTAAAAGATGGACAAGAGGTAATTACAAGTCTTTGCAGATTATATGATACTGATTCTGATTTGTGTTTGAAATACCCCCTGGGAGAGGTGAAATCAGCAATTTCGATTCGGTTTGATCGGCCATCGCACATTCGAAACATTCGAATACTTGCGTTTTGATCGTGACCCTTATATAAGAGGTACTACTTTTTCATAGATAGAATAGATCGTCGAGGCTTGAAATTTATTTCGGTAATTTCCTTGGAATTGCGTTTGAAACTTTGGTCGTTCGATCGGTTTATCGTCGAGTCCCGTCACAGGTTTTTCCTTCGTCGATTCTGTTCCAATTGCATTGGCAGCAATTTTGTATCCTGCTGCTGGAGCCCTCTATACGTTACGATTTAAGCAGTTTTAGTAATTAGTTTTCAGTAATCGTAGATTAGGCTGTAGATGTTGTATTAGTTTATAATATACACGTAAACGGTAGATCATACGACGAGTATCTTAATTGTGAAATATTATTGGCGAGAAGACAGACAGACAGATTTTGAATCGTAGGTTTGCGAAGCACGTCTCTCTCGTATTAATATTTTTTTCTTTATTTCCATTGGAGCAACGAACACACACGAAGGACAATTATTCTGTATCGTTAGATGATAGATGACTTAGACTCGCGTATTTTTTCGTTTCCTCAGTTCCTAGAGCAACGACTTTATACTTCGAAATTTCAACTAGTAAGTAGTAGGACTTTCATCACTGTAATTGAGGCATAGCATAGCGTAGCGTTATTCAAACTGATCTGGTGTCATTGTTAACGAGGGAGTGACAAACATTGTATTTGTAGAGCGTGAAAAAAAAAAAAAAATTCTTCTGTGCATCTTTATACGTAGAATCGACGATAATACAACGCCACGTTGTTTTTTTTAAGGAAAATGTTCAAGCGATATTCGCACAAAGTATTTTCTCTCTATGATGAAAAGGATTAAGGATAGAAAGGACTGACGTTGCTATACGAGAGGCGCGTTCTTTTGTCAATGTACTGCTGCGTTTCAATTAGAGTTAGATTGTTAATCTCGTAAACCGCATATATATATGCATAATAACTTTACTAGGCATCACGCGGAGATCCTCGAGCAATATATCTATCCGAGACATTCTCGGGGATTCGCGAATGCAGAATGCGAATAGAATGATAAAGAAAAAAAAAAAAAAGAAGAAAGAAGAAAGAGGATGAACAAGCCTTACGGAGCCTATTTACTGTAGGACTCACGACAGAGTATAAATGAATTTTTATAAAAGTCGAACAAACAATTATTTGTCTTTTGTCTAGTCTATCTATTGGCGAACACTCTGATGTCCTTGTTTTCTTTTCCTAATTGAGAAGATGAAAAGTTGCAGAGCGTTTTTTTTTTTTTTAGGTGTTAAGTCGTACTGTAGATAACTTTCACACCCCTTTGTTTTTTTTCTTTTTTTCTTTTTAATTGTACATTACGAATAAACGTTTTTTACAAAATGTCGTGGTACTCTCGTTCTCTAATTTTCTTAAGCCTCGTAATTTAGTTTATTATTCACTCGATAAATAAATGCAAGTTTACACTAATGTATATCGTAGAAAAATAATTTATAGCGCGACTTTGGCTATCATAACTTTCGCAATTAATATTTGACGCCTGAATGACTAGAATGATTCGTAAGAACCAGGTACGATTCTTGAATTAGCTTGACTAGATAAATAAAAGATAGTTATTAAACAGACCGCGAATTTTTATGCACTCATAAGAAATTTGTAAAATCTATGCAAAGAAGTATTTTTACTCTTTATGAAAATATAAATATCCGCAGTTTATTAACACGTCAACTATCGCCGTGATGGCCATTTATAAATGTTTTGGAACGAACAAAGTATGATTTAAATGACTTGATAATATACTATAGAAAAATGCGCATTCATTGCACTTCTGTTGTAACGTAATATTCCGCTTCGCGAGGCAGTCGACGTGTTAATAAGCAGATCGCGGGTTTTTATGCATGTATGAAAACCTTGAAAGCGCGAGAATGCATGCACTGCACTTTATATTCAAAATACGGGACCCGTGACAACAGTTAATGGGTAAAATAATTCTCTACCTACGTTTTCTAATTATTTCCATAGAGACATAAGTTTGCATAAACATCCGCAGTCCGTTCTCAATAAGCTCTCGAAACCCTGATTTGATAGAAAGCCTTGATGAAAAAGAAACATTCGGGATAGAACTTTCACCCTGATTTCCAAGCGTCTCGGGCATTTGTCTTATATACCCGATCTCATCAACTTGGCGGTGTAATCTCTTTGTTTACTAGCTAAGTGCAGGTCCAAACTTCTCAGCATTCGGTCGCGAATCTCTTGGTCGCAAGACGAAGAACTTCTGCGTAAGCCAGTTCTACGATGCGCCAGCCTCGGCTCGTTCCTCGAGTAGATACCCAGTCGAAATCCAGAGTGGCTCGAGTCAGACGACTTGGCGTCCCGCCTCGTCTCGCGGGCCACGTTCTTCATGAACTCCACGGCAGTTCTGCGACAAGTGTCGTAGCCCAACAGCTGGATCCTTTTACCATGAATCGCGTCTAACTGCGAGTTACTCGGCTTGTTTTTCGACACTCGGTTCATTATTGCCTCGGCGGAGTCCGGTGTCCCGGGAAGATTCTTGAATACTTTACGAAGAACTTCCTTTGTCAAGTCCTCCTCGCTGCTGGATTCGCCTGGCGGAAAAATTCCGTGTATTAATTGCTTCAGCTCTGTTCAATTAATCACGAGAAGGTAAGAAGACAGACGAAGCTACGTAATTTCGAGTAATTCAATATTGATCGAGCTGTTTCGTTTTACCAACCAAAAGCTGAGAGCATTGATGGTTCTCGAAACTGTTTGGACGAGCTGTTATTTTCTATGGAAGTTACGAAGAGCGAGAACCAACGAGAAGGTATCTGTTATTTGGTCATTTTCAACATCGTAACATTAATTAAAATTCGTTTTACCTGCGAAGAACCGGAAACTTTTCCACCTCGTTGCGTGTACTTACGTCGCTCTCATTTCTTTCATACCAATTATTATCGAAGAACAAAGTTTATCATCGACAAATAAGGAAAGATAGGAATCGAATAAGTAGAAACTTGATACTTTCATATTATAAATAAGCTTGCAAGTAACTTATGTACTGGATTACCGAAGGCTCTGCCTTCAATGATAGACGCGAGATACTTTGAGAAGCGTGGTAAATTAACGACCACGGCAAGGGGGCAATCCGGGGAAACCGAAGAAGACGCTGCAAAGATCGTATGAAATAAGTTTCTAAATTAACGTTACCAAGATCGCTGGTATGGTCGGTGGTGTATGTTCCGTCTTTGATCTCTCGTTGCAGCTCCAAGACTCTGGCCAGCGCCAACTGCAGATACTCTTTGGCATTCGGCTCCTGCATAAACACCACGTGTACACGCACGCTGTTAAATACTCACTGTTTACACGCCAGGCTCTCGAAATCCGCGAATAATTCACTCGTAATCGGAAGATTTACCTCCATCGATCTGGCCTTCTTGCTATCGTTGTTCCGATCTGCCAGACAGGGGGCCTGCATCACACCGACACGACTTCCGATTAGAAACGCAAACTCGCATAGCCTAGAGGAACGTAACTTCACGAACCACTTACCGACGAGTATCGTTTCATTCTTACTGAAATCCTGTCGAACAGTGAAGCATCGATCCACCCACGCGACCTTTCACGAACGATTTCACGCGATAATACTCTCTCTCTCTCTCTCTCTCTCTCTCT